CGACAAGGGAGACGCCTGCACGTTTCGCCACATGCCCTGGGCCTCCGCCGCGCAGGCACGTCAGTTCTACGCCTCCCGCGCGAAGGGCGCTGTGGAGTTGAGCCAGAAGCAGTACAGGGCGCTGCACCGCGACGGCGGCGAGCCCGTCTCAGCCAAGCTGAAGGCGGAGCACGTGGAGATGGAGCTAATAGTGCAGCAGGAGATGCACGAGGAGACCTACGGCCACGCCGCGATGAGGATGATGGAGAAGATGGGCTACAAGGCCGGCGCCGGGCTGGGCAAGGAGGAGCAGGGCAACACCAAGCTGGTGGCTCCCTGCGTCGCCCTGGAGAAGGCCTCGCAGGCTCGGGAGACGCCAGCCACACCCGCACCGATCCCGGCCGGTCCCATCTTGGGCCCTGGACCAGCTCGGCTGCACGCAGGGGCGACCCTTCGCCGCAGCGACCTCTTGGCTCGCGGCCTTCGGTCGGCACGGGGCGGCCAGGCCCCGGCACGCGGGCCGCCCCTGCCGCAGCGAGTGCCACGGTCGGCAGGCCGCGCCTCCAGGGGTCTTCTCGCTTGCCCCGGGGGTCGCTCTTGCGCGCGGCACGGGCTGGTCGACGATCCCGCGAGCGTGGGACGGCCAAGCGCGACCAGATGCAGTGACCCCCGACGTCTGGAGGGTAAAGCATGACTCGGGTCGGCGGACCGCCTCGAGATCCGGGAAGTTCTCGCAGAGGCTGTCTCGGGCGCCTGGGGGGCCGCCGATTCTCACAGCCGTGCGGCCTGTCGCCAGACCGTGTTTGGCCCCAGCCCCCCCCCCCAGATGTAGCCGGTATCGCTTATCCGATCCCTATGCCCATCTCCATCCCCTTCGAGACTCCCACCAAATTACCACCCCAGTTGGGGATACACCCCTCGAAACCCGAAGTGAACGACCTGCATCCCCATCTAGGGGAGTAAATCGGCCAGCGGGGCCCAGGCCACGCCGCTGGGGATGGGGATGGGTGAAACCATACTCCACCCCGTGAGCCTCCGCCGAGAGGCAGCATCTGGAGCGCCTGGCGGCCCCCCGTGCGCCGCGCTGAGCACAGGACCCAGGGGCCTTCTGCGGGTAGGCCGGCGCCAGTGTTGACGCAGGTCTTCTGGGTCATCGAGATTCCCGGAGGATCACCGAGCGCGTTCCACTACTCGCAAAGTGCCTACTCGCAAGCGTCAGCTAAAACGAGCGTTGTTCGATGCAATGGAGCCTGTTTGCCTCGACGCAGTGGATCCAGGATATTTTCGAGTAGCTACTCTGCCAGTAGTGGAATGCGCTTATCTAGAGGAGGGCAAGGTGCGGTAGGTTGGTGTCGTGTCGACCAGCGGCGACCCCGCCGCCAGCATTCCACGTTGAACGCTGCTGGCGACCCAGAGTCGGTCGATGTTGAACGACGATCTGACATTTCGGAAACGGCCGATCGATCGAGGCTGAACGATCCCCGTGGTGTCAGAACCAGCGCCCGGGTCGACACGACACGAATCCGCGATAAAATATACCGCTATACGCTTCCCTCGTCGCCACGGCTGGATTCGCCTGGGAATCCTCCTCCGAAATCACCCTGGGAGAGGTCTGCGGAGCAGTAGCACGGGTGTATCTATATCTTTATATACGTAAATATGTATATATATACATATATATATATATATATATATATGAAACATGCTTGCAGGGGTATGCTGAGCAGATCGTTGAATGCCGTCACTCTGCGCTCTGTACTCATATGGGCTCAAGTTCTTCTCTCGGGGAAAAACGTAACGCTTGATGGCCCTGCGTGCCTACCGCGGCCCGCTGGCCCTGGCCGCCGCGTCGGCGCCTAGGCTAGCCTCGCTGCTGTGGTATTCTGCGCAGTCCAGTTTCCTCGCGGTGCTCTTCGGCGCCGAGGTCCAGCGGGCTGCGCACGCCGTGGGGGCGGCGGTCAGTGGCCCAGGGGGCGTGCATCCCGAGGAGGGTAGCTGCCCAGTGGTCCCATACCCGCCGCGTCCTGATCTTGTCTGCCCAGAGGCGCCGCCGTGTGCGCCTTGCCTTGCACTGCAGTGCCAGGCGTGCCCGGAGATCCCGGGCGACCTCGACCAGCCCGACGACATCGGCTGGGCCCTCAGTGCGTGCAACCTGGCGCTGGCCGCGGCAGCGGGCTGCTCGCGGCGCCGGCCTCGCGAACGCGAGGCGCCCGAGGCTCTGCCCGAGCAGGCCGCGCGCCCTGCCGTGGACGACGACGCCGACGCCACCGTGTTGAGGACGGAGGCGCTCCGCCAGCGCAGAGCGATTCGGGATCGGGCAGTCTTGCGCACTCCTAAGGCAGGATGGCGCAAGTTGGAGATTACATACTGTTAAGGTACGACTTGGAGGGAGATGACGAGCCGCTCTATCACGAAACCCTCATCACTGGAGTCAAGCAAGGGGTGCCGAGCGTGGTGACCATCTATACGCCTGGCGGCGACCACTATGAGATCGACTTGACCGTTGGGGGCGATATCTGTTCCGTCCATTGGCTCGGCGCGCAGGGGCTTCTCATCCTGGGATTCGGAACGATCGGTGCTACAGATTCGCGAGGAGGCCGACCGCTGCCGCGGTGAGGGCGCTCGTCCGCGACAGCCAGATCATGCTCGGCGGCATCGCGCAGGATCGCCCCCCCCTGAGGGTGGCAGCCGCCCCGGGGGACCAGGTCGGAGGCCTCGCCAGGGCGCCAGCGCAGCAGGCTGGGCCCGTTCAGCGGAGGGCTCCCCCGGGGCGGGTGTGGGTCGTCGCCGAGGACGTGGCCTCCCTCCGCCGAGGTGCGATCGTGGAAGAGCTCACGCGGGAGGCACATGTCATCGGAAACAAGGCTTTGATGCCGCTGGAGGGCGGCGACACCGCGATGCTGAAGCAGATTGATCGGAAGGATCTCGACGACTACGTGAACGATGATCTGAGGGTCCTCCCAGTCCGTTTCGATGGCACGGGCCGCCGCAGGAGGACGTTCCCCGATGCCGTTTGCCGCATGATGGATGAGCTGCCCGTGGGCGGCATTGACCTCACGGGCCCTCGCACTTGCTGGCGTCGGCTTCAGAACACCGCCTCCCTGTTTCAAACGCCCGTCACGCAGTCTGAGCACTGGGAGGTGGCCGCCAAGATCCAGGACGGGGACAGGTCTCAGTATGAGCACGAGGCGCTCTCCCCCATCTTGGAGGCGATGGCGTGCGTCGGCCAGGTCAACGTGCCCAGCTTGAAGTCAGGCGAGCTCGTCGCGAGGGGGCCCCAGCTCATCGAGGACGCGCGCACTCGTGCTGGCGCAGGAGGCGCAGCGGACTACAGCGCGGCCGACCACTACATGGGCTGGTCGTCACGGAGGATGGGAGTGGTCATCGACCCGCAGCTGCGCCAGCACGTGGCCCACAACCTCCGCGGCGAGGCGCAGGTCGCCAAGGAAGCGAGGAGGGCCGAGGAGGAGCACCGGCTGCGCCGGCAGCCTGGCGGCGGCAAGAAGTATGGCAAGAACGACAAGGAGCACCCTTGATGGGGCGTGGGCGCGGGAGCTGGCCAGCCCGTGCCCCCTCAGGGGGCACTGCGTGGAATTCTGGACGAGATGAGGGCCGCCCTCGGGTCGCAATGTCTGGGCTGCTCGGGACAACGGCGCCCGAGCATCATCGAGTCCCTCGCCGAGAGCTGCTTCCTGTGCCTCCTGTCCCGGCCACTCCTCCCACGACTCCTGGGGCCTCGCATTGCGCGCGGAGGAGGCCGGCGCGTCGCCGCGGGGTCGAGGAGAGGGCCAATGAGGCACTTACGGTTTTGAATGAGATGAGCTGCGCGGGGGAGGGATCGGAGACCCTTCGGCCGTCGCTGGCGGAGCTCACATCGCAGGAGGCTTTGCTGGAGCTGGCCCCGTCCCTGCCATCGCCCGCCAACGCGTGCAGTCGCCGCGGGGCCGCTGATGAGCCCCTGGCTAGCGTGGTCGACTACGCCGGGGTCGACCAGGGTACCACAGCGAGGCCGCGCAAGCGCTCTCTGGTGTCGATGCCAGCGGTTAGGGGGAGCTCTGCGCTGACATCGGTGGCTGGTGAGCTGGAGAGGGAGTTGCTACAGCGGCCCAGAGAGACGACGCTGGCGGATTCCGACGATGCGGGTTGGAGGTCTGAGAAGATGAGTTTGATCAAGCCCTGCATGGGCGAGGTCTTGCGCTTGGCCTCAGTACTTGATTTTCCCAGAGGAGCTGCACAGCGCGTCGTTCATTTCATGGGCGCGCCGACCTCGCGAGATTTGCGCGCCATTTTTCGCTGCCAAGAAGAATGACGACCTCCGCGTGGTGATGGATTGCCGCGTTAGCAACCTCCACTTTCGGCTTCCCCCGCATCTCGACATGGGGGCAGGGGGTGCTTGGTCGAGGTTGGAGAGGCCCGGAGGCGCGGGCCAATTTTGCACCGCCGCAGCAGACGTAAGGAATTACTTTCACACCATCCAGAACCATCCGGACCGACCTTCAGCCCTTCTTTTACTTGCCGCCGATCTCGCGCGGCGAGGCGTGGCCCGCCATGGGCGGTCTCGTAGGGTTGAGCGATCGCGAGCCTGTCTGGCCCATGCTTCGGCATGTTCCTACGGGGTGGAGCTGGGCGTTCTTTTTTGCCGGAAGATCTTGAATAACCTCGTCGAAGAGGCGCTGGGGGGCTTCTCCCAGTGCGCCCTGCTGAGAGTCGGTCCGATCCCGGACGTCGCTTCGGAGAGCGCTGGCCTACTGCGACAACCTCAGCGTCTTTGGCCTGGACACGAGCGCCGTGCAGCTGGCCGAAGACAGGGCGGTCCCCCACCTGAGGGCGAGAGGCTTCCCTGTCCACGAGGAGGTCGACGCCGCGGTGAAGGCCACCTCCCCCGGCAGGTGCGTCGACGGCGACAGGTGGATCGTCTGCGACGAGCCTGAGCGGGCAGAGCGGCTCGCGAAGGTTTGCAGCGTTATTGAGAGTGGTGCCCGTCTCTCGGGCCATGCAGTTCAGAGGTGGGCGGGCCACGTCGTCGACTTCTTCTTGATTCGCAGGGGGGGGGGGGTTTGGCAGCCCCCAGGTCCACCTACGACTTCATTGACAAGGTCGGTTCGTGCAGGCAGCGAGCGTGGCCGTCGCTTCGCAGGGAGGCCCGCTGGGCGAGGGGCCTCATCGGAGTCTGCGCCGCCGACCTGAAGATGAGTTGGCATCCGCAGGATGCTATGACAGACGCCTGCGAGACTGGTGCAGGCGTGGCGCCCGCAGTTTTTGAGTCTTCCAGCGTTGCGGCCGTGGGTCGCGCCTCAGAAAGCTGGCGCCATCGTGGCAGGCGTCCGCTGCCGCAGCATCGTCGCAGCGCACTCGGAAAACTGGGCGTCTTCTCGGACCCTAGCTCAGTGGCCCCAGAAGGTCCAGGAGGCTCTTTGGAGATGCTCGAGAAGAAGTTGTTTCCAGGAGGCCCCAGATGACATGCTCAAGGCGGAGATCTGGAGGGGAGATATCTCTACGAGGTTCAGGGACGTCGAGGGGATGCCCTCTCTGGAGGCGAGGGCTACTGTCTTGGGCATCAGGCGCGGGCTGAGGTCCATCAAGGGGCTCAAGAGGCACCGCCTCATCATGGGGGACCAGCTGGGTCAACGCCATGGCCTGTGGGAAGCCGCGGGCTGCCCGTTCTCAACCTCGTCCGTCGTGCCCCGGCTCTGGCTTTAGCTAGCTGTGCCGGGTGGCATTTTCGTTGGGTACCTTCTGAGAAGAAGGCAGCTGATGGCCTCTCACGGCGATGGGAAGGGGGCCCGCAAGCTGGGCAGGGCCACGCCGCCAGCAGGCGGGGGGCCGCCCCCCCCCGCCGCCTCGGACACGGGCTCCCGAAGCCGCCGCCCTCGTCGCGAGGCGCAGCGCGGACGGCGGTGGCCACGCCCTCATCAGGGGTCACCTCGCGACTGCATCGCGAGGCCGCTGGAGCGCCGCTTCCGCGGCCGGGGGCCCGCCTGCCACGGAGGGGGGCTCGGCATTTGGCGGCGGCAGTCAGTCGAGGCGAGAGGGGGTCCGAGAGGGCAGTGACCTTCGGCACTTTCGAGCCTCTGGTAGCAGCAGGCCGTGTTTCCATTTTGGAGTCGCATGCCATTGCAAGCACGACGGAGGGCCTCTACAATGCTAGCTAGGTTCAAGGAGCTCCAGGCTTTTGCGATCTCGATCGGGTCCACCCTGGACACCGTGAAGAGCGTCGACGCTGCCATGGCGGACTTCGCGGACTACTCGTTTCTAGAAGGCTTCGAGAAGGCCGACCTGCTCAAGGCGCACGCCGCCGCGGCCTGGCATCTTGCGGATTTGTCACCGCGGGGAAGCTGAGGCTGCCGCGGTTCCAGAGGGCGCTGGAGGGATACGCCAACCTTGACCCAGGCGTCACTCTGGTGCCCATCCCGTGGGGGGCCGCGTGCTGGATCGCCAGGCAGTTGGCCGAGAGTATGAACTCGGACGTCGCCTGCCTAGCCGTCCTCGCGATGTTCACCGCGTACTTGCGGCCGATCGACCTGCGCTCCCTGGAGGAGGTGGACCTGGCGCCGCCGTGTGCGAGCAGTCAGTGGTGGGCTCTGAACCGCCACCCGGCCGAGCGCGGCGACAAGTCGAAGAGCGGCCTCTGCGATGAGAGCACCCTGCTGGGCGCGAAGTACCTGCCAGGCCTGGGCGCCGCGGTGGCGTCGCTCAAGATGGGCGACTTCGGGGAGAAGCTGTTCGACGTCGAGCCGTCGGCCCTCCTGGCGCGTGGAAGGCAGCGATGCGCCTGTTGGGTTTCCCGGCCGACGCCAAGCGCGTGCAGTGCCAGCTCCGGCACGGCGGCCCCTCCCACGTCCGCCTCGTGGGTTGCCGCTCGCTGATGGAGATCCAGCGCCGAGGCCGATGGCTGGCCGAGGGCGCGATGAGGCGCTAGGAGGCGAGCGCAAGGGTTCAGCAAGAGCGGGCGCGCTTCGCGAATGTGCAGCAGGGCCTCGCCCGCCAGGCAGTCGCCTGGATCCAAGATCGGGCGAGCTCGCTGTCCCTGCCCGCCGCCAGGCCGCCCTCCCGCCGTGCGGCGCCCTCGACCTGCGCGCCGGGTGAGCGGGCGTCAGCCAAGCGCTCGCACGCCAAAGCATCGAAGGCTCCGCGTGGGACACCATCCTCAGCCAAGAGGCCAACCTTGCGAGCCCGGACAAGATGAGGTGGCTGGCCAGGAGCGTGGCGCAGTGCAACATGATGCAGCACCAACGCCAGGTAGCTGCGGCAGGCTGGAGGCAGGGCCTGGCGGCCCGTTGCCTCGGAGTTTGGATCGCCATAGCATGTGCGACGTGGTCCAGGGTGCGTGACCTGCCGCCCCGTCCGAGGATCCGTGATGACCCTGAGAATTTGCTGGGTCTTCCCAATCTGTCCGCTGCTGATAAAGAGACGTTGAGCTTGGCAACATAATGTTTGATTCGCGTTGTCTTCTTCTCGAGGCTGTGCTGCCTCTGCGCATGCCAGTCATTGAGAATCCCCGCCTGTCCAGGCCATGGCTTCATCCCACAATAATTCGCTCGTGGAACATATTATCTGCAGAATTCTTCGTTTTTGACCAGTGCGGTTTTGGAGCTCGTTGGAGGAGTCCACTGGTCCTCTAGCATGGCACTTCCCTGAGCTTGCCCAGTGCTCTCGCAGGTGCTCGGGACAAAGGCGTGTGCAGCTTCACGGGTAGACGTCACGTGCAGCTGCATGGCAAAGGCTCCCCAGGTAAGTGGCGCACCAGCGGCTCCCAACACTATCCAGTGGATATGCATGAGCCAATAGCCAATGCTTTTCGAGATGCTCTCAAACACTTTTTTTTGAAGGGGAGGCGTGGCCTCCTGCCTCCAGGTTGATCGTGCTTGCGCCCAGAACACTTCTTGGAAGTGGGTACGGGAGTGTTTCCAGGTCTGTCGCCTCGGCTCTCTCGCGGTCTCCCGCTCACTTTCCCAGCGACGCCCTGGAATACCTGATAGCCTGGCAGGAAAATGAGCTGCGAAGCATGAAACATGCTTTCAGGGGTATGCTGAGCAGATCGCTGAATGCCGTCATTCTCGCTCTGTACTCATATGGGCTCAAGTTTTTCTCTCGGCCCGCCATCCGCCACCTTCTCCTCCACCTCGAATTTAACATTCTTGGAATGACACCTGGGAGTATGTCCAGGTCTGTCGCCTCGGCTCTCTCGCGGTCTCCCGCTCACTTGCCCGTTGCCGCTCCGAAAGACCTGGTAGCCTGGCAGGAAGATGATAGCTGCGAAGCATACGTTATATATATGTGTGTATATATATATATATATATACATGCTTCCTCAGGTTCGGGGCGGACGAAAGGGGGAGGAAGGGGGACATCGGGATGGGGAAGCGGGAAACTGGCTGCGGCGGCGCCGCCGAGCCTTTCCGTCGATTCGCCTGCGCCTCTGGCGCCGGGAGGCGCCAAGAAAGCCGGGCGCGTGCCCCGTTTCGGGATCGTCGAGATGGGCCTTGCCAGTGCCGGTGATGGTGCATGGCCGAAGAGGATGAGAAGGAGGAGGACGACGAGAATGAGGAAAACGTTGCACGTTCCTCTTGCCTTCAATTTGATGCGCTTCGTGCAGCCTTGATTTGATTATCACTCTGCCTAAGACTGGTTTTCGGCAGCGGAACGCAACAGTTTCGGTGCCCATGCTTGCCCGACGTGGAAGGGACGACGAGGACGACGGCGGCGACGGCGTCCACCCGAGGCACTGATCCTCGGGCAGGGCACGTACTGCGTGGACGCGCGCGCCACCGCGGCAGAGCGCGCGGCGCGCCTCGCGGACGCGCGCGCACAGAAGCGGCCCCGCCTGGAGGAGACCCCGGAGTTCGCTGAGGGGCAGCGAACGCGATCTGCTGGAGCAGTCTGGGGGCCCGAGGTGGCCAGGCACTGTTTTCGGCCGCGGGAGGGGTGGGCAGGTTCGAAGGTCTCGGTTCGGGCTCCAGGACACTCGGGAAAGGATCCAGAGTGGAAAACTGCGCCAGATGGACCCCGGGAGGGGTCGAGGGGCAGATTTGAGCGGAGTTGTTTTCATCCCCTTTCCTGAACGATATTCTGGGATCTCATCCAGTTCAGATCCCGGGTCGCCTCCAGGCGATCTGTATTTCTGGGGCGATTGAGGGTGAGAGCAAACCTAAGCAGCCCAATCGTTGGTTAGAGGCAAATCTAAGATTAGAGCATCTCGCGAATGGGGGTCGTAAGGGTTGCTATTGACGGATCAAGAGCGCCGGCCGAGCGCACTTGGATCGGGCCCGGGAAACAACGCTGCCGCCCCCCCCGTCGACCTCCAAAGGAGACCGCCTTCGTGCAGCACAACCTTCTTAGCGACGACGACAGCAGCGACGGGGAGGATCGGTGGTGCGGCCCTGCGAGTCTGAACCTTGTCGAGGAAGCGAAGACATTGAGTAGAGGAACATATACTGGTACGGCTACCCTTTCCTCGTCGCCACGGCTGGATTCGCCTCGAACTTTGTGTCAGAACGCGCCCCAGGAGAGGTCCGGGGAGTAGTGCTATCGCCTGTTTTGTGTCCCCCCAGTGCTTGCGAATCCACACTTTGTCGAGGAAGCGCAGACATGGCCCGTGGATCTGCGATAGGCCTCGTTTCCATACGAGTTATGCGCGCCGCGTCGCCAGATCCGTCGGCGCTGGCTTCAGGTTTTAACCCCGACCCGTGGAGCTGGCGCTCACGCGCCAGATCCACGGATCCGTAGTCCATCTTAGTGTATGCCTGACTTTGGGCGACGGGCGGGTTAGCTCTCTGCCGGATCTCTCACCTGTCTTCAACGGCGTCGTCTTGTCCCCGCCGTCGACGATATTTCGTGGAAGATCTATCGTGGGTCTCATTCCAGGCAGACCGTTCGAAAAAGTCGCGGCGGCTATACACCACCATGCTGTGCATGGTGCGGACGCCATCCTGACAAGGGCCAGGAGGTCTACGCGCTGCCCCAGGACCAGGATGGCCCTGGCCGGGCACGGCTGCTTTGCATGGCTGCGTTTCGCCCTGCGACGGCTGGGAGGGCGCGCCCCCTCTGCTCCCGTCTCGCGCGCGTTCCCCTCGCCCCTCCGCTGCGGGGCAAGCCCGAGCACGCAGGCCGCCACTGTCGCATCGCATGCAGCGGTCGGCAAGCTGCACGTCCGAGGCCACTCTTGCAGGGGGCCGCCTGCGTGCAGGGCGAGTCGTCCCGTGCTGCGCCCCGCGTGGCTGTGGCTGTGGCGGGGGAGGGCGGGGGAGAGACGTGGGCCTCGCACCAGGCTTCCGACGATCCGCCGTCTGTTCGGGGAAACGTAGGACTCGAGTGAGCTGGAACTCGGGTTTGCCGACCGTGTTTGTTCGACGAGCGCGTCCTGGATGGTGACGGCCCCGTTTTCGTGGGATCTTCGCAGCGGGAGCCCGCGTCAAATTGCAGATTGGGTCTCGTTAGTTTTCATGATTGCCCCCGTCAGGCCAACCCGAGTCCCCCGTACCCGTGTCTTGCGTGTCCCCGATCTTTGAGCCGCCAGTTCCACGGGCTGCTCGACCTCCTCTTCGATGTTTGTGTTGGGGACCCTTTCGGGGCCCGCCTCATGGATCCTTGCAGATCTTTTCGACTCTGGTTCAGCCTGAGTTCGACACCAGCTAGGCTCCAGCTCGACTCAAGTCGACGGACGTTCGGCGCAGAATCGGCGCATCAGCTGAGCGTGCGGCTCAAGGAAGGTCTCATAACGAGCTTCCGAACCTCCCTCCGAGGGCTGCCTTGCCAGAACAGCCCCAACGGTCCCAGGGGTCATAACCAGAAGCTGGGCGAGGGCTGGCAAATCCGTGGCTGCTAAAACGGCTTTCCTGGAATAAATTCGCGGAATAGAATTCAGCGCACCAAATGGTAAGCGGGCTGCTTCCGGGAAGAACAACAACAATTTCCCGGAGCTCCGTTTTAGCAGCCACGTGTTTGCCAGCCTTTCGCCTGGCTTCTGACGGAAGCAGCCCCCCCGCGCTTGGAGCCGTTGCAGATCTCCCGCCAGCGAGATCTCGCTTCGGGTCGCCGGGGGCCTGCGTCCTCCGTCCCGCCCTTCCCCTCTCGGAGGCGACGATAGGGGCGAATAGCCCAGGGGCGGGGACTCCACGCATTCGCCCGGGAGCCTCGCCAAAGGCATGGACCATCGGCGCCCTTGGATACACGTATTGCTCTCCCCTGGGCTATTCGCCCCCATCGTTCGGCACGAACGGAATGGGTACGCCAAGAATTGGTACGATGCCCAACAGCAGTTCCTGTTCAGTTTGAACTGGACTCGCTGTCCGCGCCGCCGCGGCCTATGTCCATGTGAGACAGAAGGCCGCTTGCCCAACAGCGGCCGCTGTTGGTTTGGGACAACGTTTGATGTTGTGCCTTGTGCCCACCCCTTTCGGGCGTCCAAAACCGTCGCCCCCTCCCCCTCCCGCCGCGGCCCCCACCGCCTGCCCCCCGGTTCTCCGCGGGCGGAGCTGGAAGAGAGGGGGTGGGCGGGGGGAGGGGGGGGGGAGGGGACGTGCAGAAGGGGGGGCGGGGACGGAGCGAGGGGCACGGGCAAAAGAGGTGGAGGAGGAAGAAGGAGGGAGGGAGGGAGGAGGACGGAGGGAGGGAGGAGGGAGGGAGGGAGTGAGGAGGGAGGAGGAGGAGGAGGGAGGAGGAGGAGGAGGGAAGAGGAGGTGGAGGAGGAGGAGGAGGAGGGGGAGGGAGGGAGGGAGGGAGGGAGGGGGGGAGGGGTCGGGGAAACGTACGACTCGAGTGCTCCAGAGCTCTGGTTCGCCGACGCTTGTTGACGAGCGCGTTCCGGAGTTTGACGGCCCAGCTTTCGTGGGATGCTCGCAGCGGCAGCCCGCGTCAAATTTCCAGGCTGGGCCATCGTCATTTTCGTGAGGGCCCCGTCAGACCGACCCGAGTCCCCCGAACCCGAGTCTCACGTCTCCAAGAAGGGGTGAGGAGTGGGATTCCAGGTCACGGGTTTGGGCTGCTTGTGGGCGGCCTGACCTCGACGGCGGCCCCAGACGGTTTCGGATCGCCCAGGATGGGTTCGAAGATGGCGCGGGGGGTCCGGCCAGGGGCGGGGAGAGAGCCCCCCGTAAGTTTGGGACAAGACTTCCAGTGGAGACCCATGCCAAGAGACACCCTGCTTGCCTCCAGGGTGCCCTGGGTTTCTTGGGTTTCGATAGTGATGTTCCCGCACCAAAAATCGATGGACCTCCTGGGGTCTCAGGGTTGGGTTTCTTGTGGAAGGTTTCTTGTGGACTGGCGTCCACCGTAAGAAGGGATGGATTTCGAAAGCGGGGGGTTACGGAATCTGCTGCACGCGGCCGGTCTCGGCCCTACCGCCAGGGCCCGGCACTGCACTGAGAGGACGTGATACGGCGATCATCGGCTGTTCGTTTCTCACTTCTCTTCCTAGGGGAACGAAGACTGACATAACATAAAAAAAATCGGAGGTCCGCGCGGAATTCTCGGATCCGCGCTGGACCCCCCTGGCGGCGCCGCCCCTGGCGCGCTCCGCGCGCCAGGGAGGGGGGTCCAGCGCCGATCCGAGAAATCCGCGCGGACATCCGAGTTTTTATGCTTGTGTCATACTTCGTTCCCCTACAACCAGTATAGTAAGGACGCGCGATAAGGATGTAAGGGCCTTGGAAGGCCATTTCGAGGCTTTTCGAGCCGGGCGCAGCCAGCGAAAGCAGCGAAGGATGGACGGAGGAGGCCATGATGCAACGGTACCTTTGGGAAGGTTGCCCATCCTTACTGTGCGGGTTGACTGTGCTTCCTCCCCTCCCTCTCTCCAAATTCTGGTGTACAGCCAAACTTTTTGGGATCCTCCAGGCATCCTCCAGGTCCCGCGGGCCCTCGGAGGTCCCGAGGCATCTCTTCCCGATGGTGTCCTCTTCCGGCCGTCGTCTCGTGCTGGGCACGAGGCAGGGGCAGGGGCAGCATCGTCCATTGGCGTTTCATCGATGCGAGCTCAGCGCGCCAGGGTCGAACATGAGACGTGGAAAAACGGCGCCTGGAAACGCGGGGAGCATGGAAGCCGGAACCGGCACCGGAAAGAAACATCGGCGACGGAATCGGGGAAACAGCTGCGCCAGAACTTTCAGAAACAGCTCCAAAACGGAACCGGTAACAACAGTTGTCTCGTCGTTTCAAAGGCCCACTAAGGCACAGTGTCCCTTTCGGTCGGGTCGGGCGGAGGGGGGGGGGCCCAGACGGTGTGGTGACCACATCTTTTTTTTGTTTCGGATTTTCCACAATCCTGCAGTCGACGCCCACAGACAAGCAGCCCTAGGCACCCGCAGTCGACCTTTACAGCGCAACCATGATAGTAAGGATGGGGCAACTTTCCAAGGCTACCCTTGCGTCCTTTCCCCTTCGGTATTCGGCATCCTTCGGCATTCTGCTGCGCTCCGCACGGAAAACGTCAACATGGCGTTTCAAGGCCCTCGCATTTTTACCGCGCATCCTTACTGTCCTGGTCGAGGGTAGTCAACTACGCACTGCCACAGAATTGCTCCAGATATTTTCACAACCCCGCTCACTCCAGCAAACGATTCGCCTTGGGATGTGGGCCCCGCAGGATGCGGTCGGCACGGCGGCGCCGCGCCCGATCGGCCTTGGTCGGCCCGTCGGGCCAGTCGGGGCACGCCCGCGCTGGGAGCCCTCGGCCCTCCCGCGCGCGACCGTGCCGCGGGCGGTGCACGCGACTCCTGCCCGCAGGCCTGGGCCACCGAGCGGAGCCGCACGCCCGCGGCAGCCGCTCCCGCCTGCCACCTGCGGACGCGGCGGCGCGGGCGGCCTGGCCGGCCTCGGCGGGCCCGCGGCGCTCGCCGCCGGGGCCGCTGCCGTCTCCTCCTCTTCGCCGCGGGCAGGCGCCGGCCCCTCCGCGCTGCTCGCGGCCTGCTCCAGCTGCTGTCCGCGCTGGACCGCGCGCAGCAGATCTATGAGCCACCATTCACTCGCCCGGCTGCCGTGAAGTCGTCGTGTCACGCGGGCCGATGACGGGCTCGACTGCGGTGGGCTCTGCCTGGCTGCTCGTGCCCATCCGCTCTCCCAGCGCCGTGATCATGTGCGGGTCCGCAGGTGAGTGCAGCCTCCTCCACGGCTTCGGCACACACCTGCTAGCATAGAGGTGCTGCGTTAGACACAGCGGTGCGAGCTTGCTTGCCGCAGGCCTGGCACCTCACGCAGGTGGCCGTGGCGACCAGGTCGTGCTGCGCCAGGTCCAAGGGCCGCAGCGCCATGGACTCACCCTTTCGAGCAGGCCGCTCGGCAGGCTTCTCCCGCGTGTCGTCCCAGACCTCCACCCGCTCGTGCCACCATGCAGCCCGCGTTGTGCGGAGCCCACGTGGCACCATCACTAGCCT